GGGAATCACGTGAGTTGCACTTAGGGAAATAAATCTATTAGAACGGGACCGCAAAATCCGTTGCAATTGCAGAAAACATTTACTCACTAGGTCCCATGCTTGGGACCGAACAAATTGTTGCATTTAGAGGGGGATTGCACTTATGGGGGTTGCACTTATGGAGGTGTCACTGTTTAATAATCTGCTTCGTCTTAGTAAAAGCCAACTACAAGTAGCAAACAGGAAGCGAAATTAAAATACAATTGTTTTTTTCCTAAACTTCAAGAGTAACAACAAAAATCAATAGAAATTAATGATCATGGACCAAGTACAAATTTTGGAGAATGGCAAGATATGGTCTGCAGAGGATTTTCAGGAATTTAAAGACGTTGAGAGTTAGTCTGGAAAGAAGATGCATTAAAAAATAAAAAAAAGTTTACTACGATTCTACGTCAAAAAAGCCTCAATGGCGTAAACAAAAAAGCTGAAGAATGTGTACATTAATATAGAGACTCATTCCGAGATTTGACCCGTTCTGAAAATGGGTCAACCCGTTTCAAGATTGTCACATATTTTTTCAATGTTATTACATAAAAATTCTAAATGTTGTTTAGTTTCTGTTTCGCGCCTTGATTTACTTATCGTTATAGAGAGATAAATTTTCGGAGAGCTTATATATTATTATAAAAATACTCTAAACTTTAAAACATTTCAACTCAGCGTAGAGGCATTTGTATGACAAACCAGCCAGTAACTTTGTAAAGCATATCGCGATAAACATAATTACTGGCAGATTTTCTAAAACAAAGCATTCACGCTGAACTGAAAATTTTAAAGACAGGTGGTTTTATTGTCGAATATAGAGTTGGTAGATTTGACCATGTGACTTGCTTATTCATAACAAATATCAAAGTCTGTTTAGTGTGTGTATACACAAGATGTGTGCGAACGAAGCAATATATAATTGAAGAATGAGTAAAATAAAACATGGACGTAGATCAGCAGACAAATTAACTGTCGCATATGCAATTTTTGTCACAACTATTCATCTTCTTCTTCCCTTACAGCTGCCAGGAAGGATGCTAATAGCTAACAACTTTCGCGGAGCAATTGTGTCATCAAACATCGTCTGAAAAGTAGTTAATTTATATTAATATTATAATATTATAATATTATATGGCACATAAAATTGATTGCAGATAAAGCTTGCCTCTTTCGATTGTTTTTTGGTTTTTTTGGTGTACGCTCTTCCTCAGTTCGTTCGAAGGGGATTATTTTCTGGACTGATAGCTTGTCTTTTTCAGCTTTTTGTTTCATTCGTTTGAAACGATTGATAGTACTACGTAAAACATTCTGAATGAATTTAAAAACGGAACTGTCAGAATCAGAAGCAAAGCTATTGGTGGCAAAAGGAAACACATATTACCGTTGCTTGTAACATAACTTCGCCAATTTTAACAATATTTTTTAATTCCTTGTGTGTGGTTGGGATATCAAGTCTTGCCAATTCCATTGATGCATAGAAATTTCCCCCAATGTATACAAGGAGAAAGACCCGAAGCTCAAAACAATTGGAAATAAAACCTGGCATGACAAGTTTTGTTGATGCCCGCAACATCTGCTGTGTTAATCCTCCACCCAAGGTCTTGATATGATCCATCAAACTCGAATGCATATCCCGTAACAATTTTTGTACTTTAACTGAATCTGATGTAACCTTCTTTCCATTATCTGTGATAGACCCAGCTCGCTCGCAAAGAGAAAATTCAAGACCCCAGGACAGATTCTTTTCCAGGTCATGTTTCTAAAGCGATATTTATCAACATCTATTTTTATATTGAGATGACTAAAGAATCTTGTATACATACAGTGAATAACCAGTCAATATGATTGCCTTCTGCCTTTTCATTTGCCAATGCTCGACGGGCTCGTGATGCTCTTGACACTAATTCACCACTATTCAGGTACAAGAGTATTAGCTGAGCATATAAGTAAAAAGAGGATGCAGACATTAAACCTACAAATGGCGGTCCAGCACCAGATCGAAACATGAAAATATATGTACTTTCATAAACACATCCAAATCCCTTTCAGTGTTTTTTCTCTGGGAATCTGCTTTGATATCATTTCACAGCTAACCATTGAGGAACATAATTAGTCAGGTTATAAAAAGCCTGCAATCAACTTTTTGTAACATACCTGGATCTTAGCAAATTCATTATATAACGGACACCACAATCCTCTGCATCTGACTCTTGAATAATCTCCATAGCAAAATTTGCCGAACTAAAAGAAGAAAAACAAAAACTGCAGACTGAGTTGTTTGTCTGTTGTAGATTGGGCAGCCTTATCATCACTGTCATCAAAAAGCTCCAGGTCTGACTCATCCACATCCTCATTCTCAGATTCTTGTAGCATTCTTCGTATCTCATTGATGCCACCACATATACCATCCATTTCTAGCATTTCTCCAATTTTTGCAATTGCTCTTCATTGAGCTGAACAGAAAAACTTAATTGATAAAAATAACAGTCACAAAAATAGAAAAAAATTTCATTATGTACCTTGCTCAAAGAGATCAGACAACGTTGTGCAGATGGCGTTAAAATCATCAAATTGCCTCGAGCTGAATTCGTGTTCAATGTAGATGAAAATACTGATTTAAGATCCGTATACTCTTCTTGGGATAGCTGTTTGATGAATGAATCATCTGATAATAATAATTCAATGATTTGCCACCACATTTATTATGCCGAAGGTTGGGGGGGGGGGCATCAATGATTCGGTATAGCGAGGGATTCGGTATAACGAAATGTTGCAGATAAATATTTTTATTTC